TTTTTTTTTTTTCTTTTACTTTGTACTTTACTATAATCGAGAATATTGAGATTTTTAGTTTGTAAATTTCTTTGCAATTAAAAAAAAAACAGGTACGATCGCCGAACGTGAGCACAAAAAGTGGGAAAATGCTCCACCTATCGAAAACAATCCCTACAGCCGGGAGAATATTCAAAAGAGGTTGTGGGAGAGGCAATACTCGAGAAGATCGTCGGAAAATTCCGGGTAAGATGTGCAATAATTCTTTGAAAAATTGTTCTTCGTGAGATTTCGTAATTTTTTTATTGCGACGAATAATATTCTTGAATATTCAGAATTTACACCGAATTGTCAACGAGCAATGGGACGGACTTGCTTGACGTGTTAACATCTCGAGAATCAAATATGCAAAGGTAATGTATAAAAATGCGAAGAAAAATTTACTATCAAACCATCAAAATTTTCATCTTTCTCTCTAAAATTATCAAGCAAAAGTGATCTTATTATTATACGAAATGAATCAAATTTATAATTTAATATAATTAAACGTATTTAAATTAAGATGAAGTATGTATTAACAATAATAAATCCACAGAAAGTAATTATTTTGCCATCGAACGGTTGATGACAGAGATCAGGTGATCTTAATGATTTTCAGAGTGATGGCAAATAGATTTCGTCGCGAGTTGATGATTTCGTTTTACAACAATTTTGTCGCGAGGATTTTTCTAATGGAAAATAAACGAGTTAGGAAGTTAAAGATGAGTTAGGTTAAAAATAATCGAATTCTTATAAAAGTGAATAATTTTTAAGGAATTTATCCGAGAAGTGGGGAATCGATTTTTGATAAAGAGAACTGTGATTCTCCACTTACTCCAAGGACTTCGCCATTGCATGGTCTTTACCATAGATTTTTAAGAAAAACTCGCGATTTTTAACAGATATATTTATCAGCAAGATTACGAACGATTCTCTAGAAAATTATTTTAAAATATTATTTTCAAAGCCATATTTCATCATTTAATCTCATTTTACAAAGTCATTTTTCAATCCACAAAATCCAAAGATAATAAAAATTCAATTCTTGAAACGTACAGGTTCGGCAGAGATTATTACGTGAACGGATCAGTGAATGAGAAAGGTAGAAGATCGTCGGACAATCCCGGGTATGATTTGCGATATTTCTTTGTATAATTCCTTTTTGCGTTATTTTTTACGATGAATGATATTTCTTTTCTTTTTGTTTAGAATACATAACGAATTGGCAATGAGCAACGGAACGGATACGGATGACATGTCATCATTACGGGAATTAAATATCCAAAGGTAAAGAGTGAAATAAATATTCTTATTCTTTTCGTTAAATTTGTAAATCAAATAAAAATTGAACGTGTTTTTCCGTAAATTTCTGAAATAGAAACCTCGGGGATTATTACGATACGAAAATGAACGAGAAAGGGAGAAGATCGTCGGACAATCCTGGGTAAAAGATTTGTAATTCTTTTTTGCAACAATTTTTCATTTTATGAAATTAATTCTGTACGATCGATAATATTTTCATAATTCAGAAATTACGAGTTATCAACGAGCAGCGGGAGTTTGAACGACGTGTTGACGACATTTCGAGACGAAAGCGTACAAAGGTAATGTATGAAAGTGTGTGGAGAAGAAATTAACGAATATTAAGATTCTTAAACTTTTCTATAAATTTTCGAAACGTGTAGATCTGCCGGGGACTATTACCTGTACGATCAAAAAGCGTCAGTAAACGAGAAGGGAAGAAGATCGTCGGACAATCCCGGGTAAGAATTATTGTACAATTTTTGTACAATTATTGTACAACGAAACAATTCAAAAATTAAATAGAAATTGAAAGATAATATCCGAAAATAAAAATTTACAACATATTCAGATAAATAAAAGAAAGTTCAATTTTTTTTCTATGAATTTCTGAATTAGTTTAGATCGGTCGAGGATAATTACGAGAAAAATCCAAAATCATCAGCGAATAAAAAAGAAAGAAGATCGTCAGATATAATAATCGATGACGTTTCAATATTCCAAGAACTAAATATACAAAGGTGAAGAAAAATTGAAAAAAAAAAAAAAAAATCTTCCCTTAGATTAGAATTTTCCCCCTCGCAAAAAAAAAAAAAACTTATAAACTTATTCCATCACAATTTGGATAAAAATTTCGACTTTTATCCATAAATTTGTTTTTGTTAAATGCGTAGATTCGCCGGAGACTGTTACACGAACGATTCAAAGCCGTCGGTGAACAACAAAGGGAGACGATCGTCGGGCTTTTCGACCTCGACGAGCAGACCGAGCAGCTCGTTATCCCAACGATCAAGCTTCAATGGGATCGCGGACCAGGATCAACAGGTGAGTTTCCAGCTCGAAAAGTTCGAGGAGGCTTCCCTGCGCGGCAGCCTTTCTAGATGGACCTATCGCGATCCGTACTCCAGTTCGAACTTCGCTGTCAACCCTCTTCTACGCATGGAACTCGATGCGTCCGCCGAATCAGCTGATCGTGTTCACGAAAATGTCAAGAATCGAAACGAGATATCATTAGGGAACGATGATCGTGACGTGAAACGTGAAAAAGTGATGGAGGGGGAAATGAACGAACACGAAGTAATGGATAGAGAGAATATTAATGAGATTTTGCAAGAAATCGAAGATATTCGAAACGAATCTGTAGGGAAAGTCGGTTACGATCTCGAAGGGAATAATAATCTCAAGTCGGATCGTGACTCGGGTATGTCCTCCGTCGATACGAACGATCTTAAAGTTAACAGAAGGAAACAGGATCAGGATTGTTGGAGGAGGTTGTGGATCGACGATTTTCAATACGTGAAAAACGAACAGATCGTGTCGTTGAATGGAAGAAGGTATTTCAACTCCAACGGTTACAAGTATAACACGTTCGGTGGGATAAAAAAGGATCTATCGATCGATGATTTGGATTGTGACTCTGACGAGGATAACTCGAAACCGGACAGATCCGATGAATTCTTCGATCCTGGGGAATTTTCCGGATTGAAGTTCCAGACGTTTGGAGGTATAAAGGGAAGCAAAAAAGTGGACAGGAGAGGGATTCTCATGTATAGAAGAGTGACATTGAGATCGTCCATAAGAAACGGTAAAAATCTGAAAGGAATGAGGACGTCTCGAAGCGATTCCTTGTTGCAAGAGAAGGACAGAATAACCGAGGACACGTCGAACGAGGACAGACGGACCGATTATCAAAGTGATAATTCCGAGGAGAAGGATGCAAGCGAGAAATATCTCGATAAAAAACCGAGAAGGAAATGCAACAAATTCTGCAAAAGGCAGCCAAGGATTGTGTACTCCTCGTCGTCGTCCACGGACGACGATTGGCAAGACGAAGAGATCGAATTGCCCAAGAAAACGATGATGCAAAAATTCTTAAAGGATACCTCAAAGAAAATGAAATCGAACTCGGACAACGATCCCAATTACTTCTTGAACACGTCGAGAAAAAAGATATTCAACAATAACGTCAGAAGATCGCCAAAGCATCGATCGTCGGACGATAACGAGAGTTTGAAGCTGGAACCGCCCATCGTGCCCGAGGTCATCGAGAAAAGTTTCGAAAGTTTGCAGGATCTTCGTGGCAAAGGGAAAGGGAAAAAGAAGCACAAAGCTTCGGAATCGATCAAATACGTGGGTGTGAGAAGTTTGAGCGATCTGACGATATGGTGAAAAATACTTAATCGAATTAGTTCTCCAAATAAGAAACTCTCTTTCAATACATTATGAAAGTTTATATTTTTTATACAATTTCATTCGAATCTCGTATGCAGTGCCATATTGTCAACGAGAAGTTCCTTAGAAAAGTGTCTAAAAGTGAATCTGAACGATAAAATTGATATATTATTACGACCATTATTATATTTTTTTTAATAATAAATTATAAAGAGAAATCTTATTATACAAATATATATATTATGTATAATATATATATATATATATATTATAATTATCTTAAGTACATTTTATTTCTAATGAAAGTAACGAATGTGAATTGTGATCAAAAGTGCATGACAAATTTTTCTTAACATTATTTATATCTTCAAGGTGTAGGTATTGTTTGCCCCTACGATTAATTTTAACAAATTAAAATTTTCAATTTGACTTTTTAATCGCTCTACTCGTTAGTTTTAACAATTTGATGGTGAATTTGATAAGTAGCTCTCACTTAATTAAGACAGTAACAGAGGAATAAGACAATCTCTGTAACAGCGAACTGTAAATAAATCTTTTTGACTCTTTCTTGTAGATCGCACGCACCAGTTATGTATCGACCTTACGCAAAAAAAAAAAAAAAAAATAATAATAATAATTACTTTTACTTGTATATAGTACACGTAGACCATAGAAAATGCTGCTTAAGAAAAGATTTAAAAAAAATAAAAAAATATAAAAAAATGAAAAAAATAAAAAAAAAAAATAATAAAAAACTATTTCTATTAGTACGAAGTTCTATGCACATTGCACATGCATGATAGCTGAGAAAATGCCTTTACCGGATCGGTAAGTACCGTTTACATGCATTTCCAATTTGATGCGTGTCGACTAACAAACGATATTTCAAGGGTTTGCATGTTACACGAGATAAGCATAAATTTGTTGACTGAGAATCAGCATGAATTTTTATCGAGAATCGAAAAGAAGGAATGAAAAAAAAAAAAAAAAAAAAAAAAATAATCGTAAAGATCTTTTTTTACCGCAAGGTGCTCCATTATTTGATCGTAACTAACAATTTTTTAGACTTTTTCTTACTGCATGATTATAACAATCGATGCTTTAAACTATGCATTAAACTAATTCCGATTAAAATACTAATAGCTGCAAAAAGTCGATCGAAACTAGTACTTTATGGAACTAAAAATACATGGAAGCAACAAATTGGATCTCCCTTGGATTGATTTCGGATCGTTTTCTGTTCCAGGAGGAGACACAATACAAGGAAACGGAGTCTCTGTTGAATCGAAGCAACGATGTCAAATCCAAAGTGGCTAAATGGCAAAATAACAACGTGGAGAGCAAGTATCTGCCGGCTGGGCAGGATGATTCCTCGAAAGGAGCTGAGAAAGGAAAGGAGAAGTTCTCCTCGAGGACCATCGAGGGTCAGAGGTCGTGGGAGGAGCAACGGATGGAGGAGATTCTGGAGAACGAGAGGAAGAACAGCAAGAACGAAATAAACGCGAAATTGAATAACCAAGAGAACACCGTGATTGAAACGAAAATGTTCAATTCTGAGAGAAACCAACGAAAGATCAAGAGGATCGATTTGAAGGCGTACGGGTTCGAAAATGAATTCTGCTCCAACAGAACGATCAGAACTTCGACGCCAAGAGTTGTGAATAAGTTGGATCTCAGGTCTTTCGGCTACGACGATGGAATTCGACGAACGCAGTCAAATATTCAATTGAACACCGTCGACAACGACGAATTCAAGGTTTCTAGGTACACCAATTTGTCGCAACAAAAGGATTACAAGGACGATAGTCAAGATGAGATCGAGAATCGAGGATCTGGGGACAACAGCTTGACGCAGAGCACGGAGACACTCAACAAATTCGAGGACGAGAGTTACAACGAGTTCAAATTGAGGCCCGCGAAATCGGTGCCGAACATCACCAAGTGTTATTCGAACAGGAACAGCCAGAGGGAGGAAGAGGAGGAGTACGATCGAAACTCGTTCGACGAGTTTGAAGTGATAAAGACCGGATCGGTGAGGAATCTTGCGAACAATTATAATCAGAAGACTGTTAATATTAAGAGTAGCCAGTCATCGATCGATGGATCAGAGAACGATGGGGATAATTCTTTGGAGAGGACGCAGAGTCATCAGTCGTTGAACGACATGAAGAAGAAAAGTTCGAGCGACGAGGAGTTTGATAATAAGGTGTTGCCGATGCCATCGGTCAGAAGGCTTGCTGAGGTATTTAGTAAGCAAAATGAACACGTTCACGTTCCTGTTACAAAGGTGAGAATAGTGTTTGAATGATTAATGATTATAGAACGTTTTAAAAAAAAAATGAATATAGTAAATTCGTCGTATAGCAAATTATCGAATTTTTAGAAATGTTTCGTTTTTAATAATATTTGGATCACTTGCACAATCGTTCATAGTTACAAACGAAAAATTATGATATATTATAGATCAATACACTGATCTATAACTGATTAAATATCTAAATTATACTTGATTACATTTATTAATATACACATATGTATATATATATATATTTTTTTTATTAGGCAACGAAATCATGTAACATGTACAACGAGAGATCTTCGACGCCAGAAATTCAAATAGTTGAAACACCGAGGCAAATGCACAGCCTAACCGCCAGATCACTTTCGAAACAATTTCGAGAAGGCTTGAGGCGAATTCCAAACAAAGTGACTTCACCTCCGGCTAGCCACGTCGTTATGGAACAATGCAAAGGCGAGAACCAAATGGAAATAGTGCAACCGAAGAACGATGTATTTAACGATACGAACGTGATCCTACCGGGAAAATTGAAATCGAATATAATATTCTGGGAACAGATGCAGAAAAAGATGTAAAGCATATCTATTTGCTTTAAATTTGGTGCACGTTTGTCAAAAAAGAGAAAAGAAATTTATAAATCAATGTAAGGATCAAATTAAAGTGATATATCGTGTATAGAATCCTGAAACAAGGAATCTAGTAATATTTTCTTCTTTCAATATGATTGAAATTATTTTTTAATTAATTTAATGAGAAATTAATTCGAAGAAATAAAAGAGTGGTTAACATCCTTGCTCAACGTAAGAATGTTTTAACACGATACACGAACAAAAGGAGTCGATTAATTGTATGAAACAATACAGGCTCAATGATCGATTAATTTACAAAAGCAATTGCATTCGCGACATGAAATGTCGATGCGATATGTGTGCCAAATGATACGAACCCGTGATTAGCCAAAGAGAATATTTTTGCGTAGTTCTTTTGAAACATGCAAATAATTTGAACTGAACAGCAAACATTTTGAAAACTAATCTATTAAAAAAATCCACCAAATTTTACATGTTTGCAATAAATAATTGTAAATATATATACCGGAATATAGTCGAAAATATCAAAATTATTTTCTGTACATAAAAAAATCTAATATAGTTACAAAGTTATATATATATATAAATTTATTCTATAGTATTCTCATGTATTACAATACTGTTATTATTTATTGACGTCTAAATATACATATATTGGTGTGTATATATATATATATTTAAATTAAGAAAATCGATGGGCAACGAAAATTCTTTAATAAAATATCGAAGTTTGTATGGAATAATCTTACGTTATCTGTGTAACTAAAACTGTGCTATATCGATATTATATAGAAATATATTGTTTATTATCAAAAAAAAAAAAGTATAAAACTGAATTTTCGCCTTCAAAAACTTTCAAAAATAAGAACGGATTGAGGATTGTTAAGACAGTATTAGGAAAAAACTAAGGAAATTAAAATTGTTAAAATATACTGCATATTTTATTCGAATATTTGCACATACATATGTGTGTGTGTGTGTCTAACTGTCTAGTGTCTTTTATGAGTATTATATTATATTCTACATAATCATAAAAATACTATCTTTTTCAAAGAATTATAAAAAATATAAAAAAAGATCATAACTTGTAAAATCATTGCATTGATATGCTATTTTCAAATATATATATATATTTTTTTTTTGAAACAGTATTCAATAATATATGCATCTAGTTTTATGATACGGTACAATTTCTAATTCAACTTCGTGTTCTCGCCGATAATTCCACAGGAAATGATCGATCAAAATAGAATTAATATTTGATTTTAATTGATTCTTTTTCTCTTTAGGACAACGCTCGATTAGATCTTTCACTTCATATTTGACTCGTTCGATCACTTCTATCGTGCAACCACGAATTTCAATTTCCTCATCACTACCGTTTTCTAACTCTATATCTGTAAATATCAAATACCGTGCTAATCTAATAAGCAAAATTGTGCCACTTACCTTTATCGTCTTCTATTTTATAACGTGATAAAGAAATAAAATAAAGAAAAAAAATAACTGATAAGACTTACCAGATTTTAGCTTACTCATGAGAGTGTTGCTGTAACGAATAGCACCAAAATGTAGGAGGATTTGGGGAATACGATAATCGGCGAACATCGTGAGATAATCTATGTCCCAGAATTCGCCAATCCCCTCTCCTTTGAAGCAGGCCCAAATATCGCCCACCAGTATCTGAGCCCTCTTGTAAAAACTGACTGAAAAACGAAAACAATTGTTATCGCATTTGTCCCTTTCATGAAAGAATTTTTTAATAAAATTCTTCTTCATCGGATTAAACATAAGTTACCTCTGTGAATTTTATAGTCTGCCTCATCTTGGTAAGATTCGAATTCCTTCACTATACATCTGAGTAAATTCTGAGCTGAGTGAGAGCTCAATTTGACACAGTTAACAAAAGTACCTAGAAATAAAATGGAATTGTTAATCAATTATAACACGTGAACAAAATGTTTGACAAATTTTAATAGGTTTTTAAATTCTGTGTACAGAATATTTTGGTAGTCTAGTGTATAACTTTACAGCCTGTTAAATAAAATCTTCGAAAGGGAATCGAGAATTTAGAAACCTGATTTAATTACAAAAATATATTCTCTGTCTCGACAAAGATCGGTAAAGTTTTGCACCAGAACTCTTAATGTACAATGTGTGATGATCTGAGGAAAAGGATTTCAAGCATATACCTTGATACTTTTCTAATAAAACTTTTCCAGCATCTCGCAAGCATTTTACTCTTTCGTCTAACAGCGGAATACTAGTTTCTGTATCGCCACGAAAAATATATTCAGCTTCGGATCTCGTTATTTGAGAATAATACTTGGGATCAACTATAGGTTTCCCCTCCTGTTCGAAGTAAATTATTAAAAAAAAAAAAAAAGAAAAAGAGAGAGAGAAATAAAGAGAGAGAAAGAGGAAAAGAAAGAATGGGCATATCTATTGGTAAAATTTCAACAATAATTAAACGTTCTTTCGAGACGAAACACACGGACGTGTCGAAGTATTTTTGAAACGACCAAGACAAACAATCCACGAACAAAAGAAGCTAGACATAACGTGGAAAACGAGAAAGTGACATTTTACGTGTATATCGCGCAAAATTCCAATGTAACCACAATATGTTGTTTATTATTAAATTTATAAGGGTGCGTACATTAAGAAATTTCTAAGTAATCAGAAAGATATTACTTCCCGACGAGTAAGATGAATCCATCGTGCGAGCACTATCCGACTGATATGATCAGTCTTAAAAGACCCACGTGAGTACACGTGACTCGAATAACGGGAGATTTCTTTTTCATATAACAATTTTTCGAATAAAATCAGGAGTCTAGAGAAATTCTCCGAATCGATCCCTAAACCGAAAGGTGCTATTCCACATTTTGGTCTGCCAAAATGGAAATTAATGCCTTTAGAGTCGAAAATCCCAATGGTCCCCGGACCGGAAGGCGCTTACAACTTCGCTCGTCGTAAACTCGGGGAGAGATTGTGGATCTCAGCGCCCGACGCGGAATTCAACTTGAGCGATCCTTACGGTTATGAGATAGAATGGACTTACGATTCTCTTCACGACAAACATTTGCTCCCTCATTTCTCAAAACCGAATGTTATTCGACATTTGTTGAAAGCCGGTTTCATTACTAAGAATCTAGATGCGAAATGTTCCTTGCGGGATTATAATATGTATAGAAGATATTTGAGAAGGTTACACTGTGACAGTATAAAAAAAGAATTGAACAGAATAACGAAAAAATCTACAGAGGAGAAAGCGATACAATACGCGCAACATCAGGCGGAGAAGGAAGTAAAGAGGTAAAATATTGAAGATATATTGTTGCGATTATTGCATTCCTTTTGATAAAAACTTAAAGAATAAATTTGCCTGTTTGTGGCAACACTATGGATATAACTTTTGATTTTTTTTATCAAAAATATTGAATCAAATGAATGTATTATTTAAAAAATTCCCCAAAAAATTATTGTATAAAAAAATTATATGTACAATTTATAATAATTATGTAAAATAATTATGTAAAAATTAATATTAGTTTATAAATTATATTATAATGGAAAAATTTACTTGATCAATATTACAATGGTTAAAGAATGGTTAGTTATATTTCTATTTATCTTTCCCATTGAAATTCTGAATAGTTAATGAAACATTACTGTGTGCAGATAGCAGAGATTAATGTTCTAATGTTTATTCCTTTTAAAATAAAATTAACTTTTAATCTATTCAATATTCGCAACAATATATTATATTATACAGAGTGTCTGAAGCATTTTTTTTTTTTTTTATATCTTCTATAATTTCTAATTTAATTGTTCTTTAAACATTTCTATTTAAACCAGACACACTGTATAAATAGAATGACCTGTTATTTAAAATAATGAAATACAAGACAACAATTCATCAGATTAAAAGAAAGAGAAAGATTGATGGAATTAAGAAAATTTGCTATAAAAGAGATAAAAATGGCTGAGAAGCTAAAACGACAAAAACAAAAGGAGATGAAAAAGAAAATAGAGAAAAGATTGATATTATTAGAATTACAAAAACGAGAAGCTCAACAAATGCGATATATGAAAAGCATAGAGAAAGCTGAATTAATTCAACAAAAACAAAAAGCAGCACAAGCTATTCGACGGCAAAAAATAATTCACACTCTACTGGAATGGAGTAAAAAGGAACGTGTAAGAAAAAAAATGATGGATCGGCGATTAATACAAGAACGGGAAGAGAAACGGAGAATCGTAAAAGAAAAGTATGTATAAAAATAAAATAGAATAATTCGTGTTAGAGAATTGAAAGTTTCTTTTACATTATTTAGATGGGAAGAAAGACAAGAATTTCAAAAGAAACAAATTGAAAAAGAACAATTTCTATTGAAATGCATAGAAGATCAACGAAAAGAATTTATAGAAGCATATGAAGAGAAAGTAAGAAGAGAAACAGAAAGAATGAAAAGTATGTTATTGAAATTTATGAATTATTTTTTTTTTTTGCATGTGTACTAATAAAATTTGATGTTTTTTATAGATCTTTTTCATGATGTGAGAATGTATATAAGATGTTATTTGGCTAGGCAAATGCCTTCAAAGAGAATGCGAATTTGTTGTCCAAAATATTTTTATAATGAAGAGGTATTTTATATGAATTTAATAAAATATTTATTAAATAAATAAATATTTAATAAAAATCACAAAAATCACATACTATTTTAAACTGCTAAGATGCTATTTTAATTTTAGGATGATTTTAAAACCGATGAAAAAAAATTATTATCTAAATCATATGCTGGTACAAAAAATGATAAGGTAAGAATATTCAACATCTTTTATCAAGATTGTAAATTATATAATCAATTCAAATATTGCATGTATTTTATATGTTCTATATTATTTATATAATACTATATATCATATAAATAAGTTTATCTAATAAAGATATATTATAGATTTATCTAATAAAGATATATAATATTATTTTAGACAAAAAAGTTAACTGAAACAAAAAAGAAAAAAGGCAAAGAGAAACAAACAGATAAAACAAAATCAAAAAAAGAACCAAAAGATGAAAAGAAAATAGAAAAAAAAATAAATGAAACTCAAAAAATTGTAAAAAATGGAAAACAAAAGAAAAGAAAAATAAAAAAGAAAAAAGAAATTAAACCAGATATAAAATCTGAATTAGAAGAAGTGCCAGAATCTATACCTCCAGAAAAAATAGAATCAATAAAATCAATAACACCGCCTTCTATATCAAAAGAAAAGTGCAGGTGTCAAATAATTAGGGATACTCGAAAAGGCATTATATAATAATAGATAGAATTCTTCCATAAATTTAAATTTATATAATTTCAACTTACATTTATAGCTCTTTTAATAGCAGCACATAATGCAAAATATCCAGTTTGATTATTAACTGTCCATTTTGGACAATTTTTTTCATTCCAAAAGGAATAATTTAATGTATTCAAAATAAATATCCAATCAACTGCTTTTGGATCTTCAGGAGAAGGGTGAAATTGACATTGAGAAAAATTATTTACACTTATTTTATCATCCTTAAGACCTTTTAAAACCTGTAAATGTAATTAAATATATTAAATTTTTTTATCTTATTTTTTTAACCAATTAAAAAAATATAACAAAGAAGTAACATCTATTATATAATTTTACTTGTTTTTATAATATATTAAAAATTTATATATGTATAATTTAAATAATGTTGAAAAAATTATTTACCGCATAAGCAACATTTTTGACTCCTTCATTTTCAACAAAAACATTTTTAGAACATAAATTTATAAACTTTGCGGAATCCTTTGGCATCAAAATCATTGTGGAAAAAATATTATCGTACTTTTAATTATAAATTAAAAATAATTTATTTAAACAAAAATTCGACAAACACTTAATAACAGAATAAGTACATTTACTTATTTTACAATATAGTCAATAGTCACGTGATAGTATCCCGTGACCTAAGATTCTTAGCACGTTAGCAACGACTGTCTTGTAAACAAACATGGCTATGAATATTAAAATTTGTGAAATTGTTTTTTAGATTGTTTATTAATTATGTGAACAGATTATTATCTTGAAATGTTCATATTAGTGTCTCAAAACTTTATTATACGTGAAATTAAGGTAAGCATTTTAAGTTTTGAAATTGCATAGTTGATATTGAAAGTACTTTTTCAGGACTATACACAGCACATGTGCACTATAATTGTTTACATTGAGCGTTAATAAAAATCTTTTTAGATTTATTAATTTAAATTGTCCGAAAATAATATCAAAAAGTAATTATCTTAAATATAATAGTTTATATATCATATATTTTCTTTTATTATTATTTTAATAAAGAAACTTTTAGGTTATTTGTTATGATAATTTAATGCATATTTTTATATGCATTATATCATTTATCATCATTTATCACAATTAGCTATTTAGGTTATATAAAACTTGGAAATAAAGTTTATAAGATATTTTTTACGTGTTTTTTTTCTACCTTGCATAATTCTATTATCATATTTACATTTATTGACATATGATAATTATTAATGATTGTTTGATAGTTTGACATCAATAACTTATATTTTAATTTTATTGATGTTAAATATTATTTATAATAAAATAAAATTAAACTTATGTTTTGTATTGAATGTGATATTTAAGTTTATAATCAAAATATAAAGTGTCATATCACTTTATTTAATCAATCATAACATTTAATAATACATAATTTAACTGATAAATGTATTCTATGTTTAAGTTTTTACATAAGGACATGCGTTTCTTATTTTACGGTACACTCGATTGTAGGTAATACCTAATTTTAGTATCATAGGCAACTATTTTCTGTAAAGTTTGATAAGATTCGAAACTTTAACACTTCATTTGTAATTTACATACGTAATACAAATTATAATCTTCAAATAATATGTATCATCATATTTACATATAAAATTTTATTATTGCAATATTTAATATACTAAGTTTTCTGCACATTATATCTCTGCACATTTTTTTTAATTTTTCCTTCACAACTAATAAAATTATTTTATGATCTTATATTTAAATTGTTATATTTAAAATGTATATACTTTTCCAAAGATTTCTTCTAAATATCAAATAGCATGATTAAATAAAATACTTTGAATTACGATGTAACTTACAAAATATGAATATTACAAACATGTTTCGAATCCCAGAGTTTGAAAAGTCAAATGGTAGTGTGCTTCATCGCATTCATTCATTCAAATAACATATGTACATAATACCCTTCAACATAAAGTGAACAGATTAAGGCTCCAGCAGGCTATAGGCTACATTCTATAATGTACAATGCATTATGTACTTTGTTAGTTTCTGTTTTCGCATACATGTCTGGTTGTGTAATGTGTGGTTAGCGATAGCACCAAAAGATTTTTCAACATCATTATTTGATACAAATGATTCATAAAAATACAATATGATTAACACAGAAATCAAGTTGCAATGATTAACATTTATTTTATTCGGTATTATTAAACTTTGCAACATATTTGCCATAATAGATATACTTATCATAAAACAATAAGTCTTAACAAAAATGTATAAATTCATATTTTATGAAATATAAAATATTGGACAAGAATATAGTAGGCCTTGCCCACCAATATTTATAATGAATGAAGTTTTCCTTTGTATATATTGAATGCTATGAACACTTAATGGCATTCTGTACCAAATTGTGAATTGATGATAGATGATATATCTATCTTGTTTGATATTATATATTTTGACATCACTGTGGCCCCAGCATGCTATTATATTATACATAGCATGAAACCAATATAATAATATTCATTTAAAGATATATTAAACATGTTATTGTGCTTTTTAGATGTTACAAGACTTAAGTGTTAAACAAAATTATATCATTGTGCAACTAATGAATTGAAATTTTAATAATCATTGATTCTGATATTTTAACTCAATGATTTTATTAGGCTGACCGAACATGCACATGTTAGACAGCATTTTTTTCCACTGTGCAATACTTTATATTTTTTTTTAATGTTGACTATCAATATGAATCAAAATGAATGCATTCAATCTTTCAATATTAAATTTCAATTCTAAATTATAAACTATAAGTTTCAGAATTATTGGAGTAGAATTTTTTATCAATAAGATAGTAATCCATATGATTAATTATAACAAATAATTTTAGTAAATGCAATTCATCAAAAATGTTCATATTATTTATTGCACAAGATCATAAAAATAAAAATCAAATGATTTGTGTTTATTGAATATTAGATTATTATCTGATTGATAGTTTGAATGTATTTAATAAATGCATTAACAAATTTTAATATTCCACTCCAAATTTCATGTTTGATTTTGGCTATTAATTACAAATTTTACATAGTTCAATTTATTAAATATAATTTCAATAATTAAAATTTTTACAAAAAATAAGACCAAGGATCCCTGTTACCCCAAGAATATAATTATTAAATACTAATAAATTTAGCTAGAGATTAATATATAAATTGATATTCTTTTTAAATACTGTAAAATAATAGACGGTTTAATCATAGAGATGAATGTTTTTAAATAATATGTAAGTCTTTGTTATATATGAATTCAAAGTTATATCAAAGCATTTGCTAATAAAATTCATTAAAAATAAAAATATAAGATAGTAAATATATTTTTTAAGCAATTAGAAATTGTTAATATAGAATTTTAAAAAGTTGATAAAAAAGAATATATTGCAGTTAAAATGTCAAAGTTTTTTTTTGCTTCTTTTTTTT